ATGAATGAAGGAGAAAAACAGAATTTTTCACTGAATAATAATGGCAATGGAGCTGAGCTGTCTTTGATTTACATGCCCTTTTATTAGGCTACTAGACTCTGCCTACTATGTGAGAGACAAAGGTGTGGAGATTAACAGTTCTGTCAGTGATGTGTTCATCAATTTTCTTTTAAACACTAGCAGAAATAAGATTAACATTGGCATAAAAATTCCTTGTGATATTCTATAATACTATCACACTAAGCACAAAGAGTTAAGATTATAAAATAAACTTTTAAATAATAAATTAATTATTTAAAATAAATTATACCAATTTCCCCTCATTATCCTTTACACAGTCTTTCTAATCCAAACTAAAATTTCTGGTACTTGCTGAATCCATAGAAGTGCTATTATACATATAAATAAATATTTGAATAAAATGTTTTAAATACAGGCAAAACAAAACAAACAACAACAAAAAAACCCACCACAAATCAAGCAAACTAATTGAAATCTACATTTGTTTCACCACACTTCTGAAAAAAATTTTGTGCTAGTTTATGAGAGCACTATTCTTTCTTCTGCTCTTTGTTACTCATGCTGTATTTCTGTTGGGAAGGATAGATAAATATGATTGTCTACCACAAGAACCACAATAGTACAGCCAGGATGTCCCCTACTGGCTGGCCAATACCCTTACCTACAGAGGGGTCCAAAAGTCAAATGGACTGTTCCATCTCACCCCCCAGAATGTATGGTTCATCCCACATCTGTAACCCTCCCCTGAAACATCAAGTGTCTGTGACCCCATTGGCCCAAGTCTTGTTCCAGCCCAGCTTGAAACCCCCTGATAAGGGGTCTCCGGGGGGCCAGAGGCTCTCTTGGAACTTCCTCCCTCCTCCTGGATTCCCCCCTCCTGGAGTCCCTGCTCTTCCCTGTGTCTCACCCCTCCCCCATCACCTCAGGCCCAGCCACGTGCTGCGTCTATAGCAGCTCGAGGCAGGACCTCTCACCATCCCGAATAAACCCTATCTTCCAAGAGCAACGAACATCTCTCGTCTGTATCCACCCAAACCGTCCTGGAGCCCTCCTACGTCTTTACATACTTCTGGGGTGGTTTTTTTTTTGGTTTGTTTTTTTTTTTTTTTTGGTTTGTTTTTTTCTGAATGATTTGCTCTTTCACAAAGACTTCTGTGATATGTTAGGGTACTTTGGTGGTGTATGATTTTGTTTTTAATTTTATGGAAATAAGAATTTATTTTTTTTAAAAGGGAACTAAAATATTTAGAAGGCCAGAAGAAGTTATTTAATGGTAAGACATTAAACAGTGCATATGCCACCACTGAGTTATTTCCATGAGCAGCCTTTGCCTTCCTTAACACCCACTCATTGAATTACAATAAAAATTATATTAAGATCCTTTGGGTAGGATTCTGTATTTCTGTAAGGGCTCTGAAGCACCTAACATATATCTGGAATTTGTAGAGGGAAAAAAAAAAAAGAAAAAAGAAAAAAAGGAGACAAAAGTTCAAGCTTTTAAAACTTCATTAGTAGGTTCAGCCACCTGTGGATACCTTGTCACCTTATATGGCAGAAATATTTTGTTCCATGATTCAGAAGGAAAGGAGAGAGTTCAACTAACATAACCAATATGCTACTGGTTATATACACCACTTATATCCTTATTACAATGTCAGATAAGGCATGCAATATCAGCTGTGAAGTCATCATGTCTTTGACATGATCTCAAATGGGATCAAGATTGCTCCCAAGTACTTTGTATATTTTTTAGATTGGACTTACTTATTTATATATATATATATATATAGTCTATTACTATATTTCTATTTAGAAATGAGCAGGACATATAAGTGCATTGGAACATTTCATTTAATGACTAGAACACTTATTGACTGGCAAGTTCTGTCACATTACTCCCTTGACTCTCATTATCTCCCTGTACTTGCTTTCCTGCTCTCCTTTTGCCTTTATACATACCTATGCCTCACTTCTGGCATGGCATGGCATGGCATGGCATGATCTCCACAGATAATACTGTACTGTCAGAAAACTATCACTTGCAAATTAAATCTGCTTTACTCAATAGAAGTCATGACACACTTCTGCCAAAATGATCACTGGTTTTACTATGTAAAGAATTTGTACATTTAAAAGAATGCAAGTCTTAAGCATGCCATGGGGCACACTCAGGTTCTGATCTGACACTATTGCAATTCATGAGGCTTTTGGCATTCAAAGATTTGCAAATGGAGATTCCTCCATTTGAAATAGAAGATGTGCATGTAAAAGCTCATTTTGGAAAAAATCCCTTAACTTAGCTATGCCTGTTTTATAATGGGTTGAACTTGAAACAATATGAACTATTTGGTCGTGCTGACCAATTTCCAGTTTAACGTCAATGGAAGTTACTAGATCTGCAGTCTCCTAAAGCTCAGGCTAAGCAAAAATAAAATTTATTCCCAAGTTGGTTCCCTGCCTGAATCACAAAAAAATCAAAGCGGTCTTTAACAGAGTACCAACCTTTGGTGATTGGTGCAGGTGTTTCTGCAATTTTGGATACTTCAGATATCTGTTTAAAAATTTAAATTCATCCACTTGCTTGGGACTAGGGAGCAAGGGGTTGGGAAACAGAACAGAGCTTTTCACACTACTGCAGCTCTGCATAGAGCAGTCCTGCTTCCCTGACACATCAGCAGCATTCTGTGTCTACAAACACGTGGGCCATCATGATAATATCCGGTGTCTGGGAAGCAGATCCCAGTCACAAGGAAAAGTCCACTCTAGCCCTTAAAAAAAGGCTTAGCTACTCTCAGGCCAAGCAAATAAAATTCAGATGATGCAACCTTTACGTATCTTTAAACTTCCAACCTTTGCGAAGATGTTATTTGGAAAAGCAAAAAACTTCTTTGTAAGGGAAAAGTCCCTTCCATACATGGTGATGGCCTTCAAATCAGAAGACTTATTCCTTGACAGTATGCCACAAGTCAGTGTGCAATTCTGTGAGACACAAGTTCACAGACCAGTTTTAATTGCCTAACTCTGAGATAGTTTCTGCCTCCCATTATCAGTAAAGTAAAAAAATGCTTTGGAGACTGCATACAAACCACTGAGATTACTCTGGTTGGGGGAGATGGTGATGAAGAAGAAATACAGATATATTACATGAGAGGTTAGTCAATGATTTTTATGCATTTTCAAGCCAGTTTCTAGTCTGATGAATAACTGAGTTAAACTAGTGCAAAGGGAGAGAGCCAGAAGACTATTTCTCTTCAAAATGTTTTACATTCACGACTTTGGTTAAATAATTTAGTGAGCAGACATTATTTTCATCTTCTTTATGTTACTCATCTAGAAGAACAGATGCCACACTGAGCTGCAGCTTGGCATCAAGGAAAGTTTGCCTGTGTGTCAGGGTAGCCAGGATAGCCTGGACTCCCATAAGGACTAATTGGTACTCCAATAAAAAGAGCTATCTTCAGCCTATTAAAAAAGAATTCCAGTATTTTTAACATCCTTCCAGATGCTTTTTAGGGTGGCTTGTCTCAGCGCTCCTGCATTTTATCAGCTCTCCCTCTCATGGAAACTCTAAATCGCATATTTAAAAATAGACCATCAGATTATCTGGGTAAATCATAAAGCTCAGCTTATCTCTCTCTTCCCTTTCAAAATATACAATTTATTTTGTCCACCAGCTCAGCAGTGTGAAGTCATCAATAATCCTGTTTGTCTCAGTAACCCCACTCAGCGATTGTCCCTGTGTATCTCTTTCTGTGCATGCATATCACCCTGGCTGTGTGTGCCTGTGTGAGCAGTGAAGAAGGATCCAGGAATTCACAGTTCTGGGCACAAAGGTGTACAATACTGTATTTATGCCCATGTCAACTGTGTACATCCTAATATCACAACACTTAGGGAGAATAATACCAGCATTTTGCAGAAGTAGTGTACTAAGTACTTCAATTATGCATTAAATTCTTGTTTAACACCAATGTGGACAACAGAAGCCGCATGCTTCTCCTGAGGGCAGGCATAATCAATGCGTGCAAAGAAGGACACAAAAATGTTTCAATTCTTCTTTCCTAGTGGTTCACACGCACCAAATATAGCCTTCAGTGGCAAACCCCGACTCCCAGCCTACACGTTTCCTATACGTGCATCTCCTCATCCTCCTCCTCCCGTCAGTGCGGCCCATCAGGCCACGAGAGTCGGAGAAAGCCCTGCAGGGATATAAATAGCTCCTCGGGGGAGGAGGGGAGAGTGCAGCAGCACGTTTCTAAAGATGCTTGCTGCAGAGGGAGGTTTTGCTGGATTAATTCAGAGGCGAAAGGGAATCGCTAGCAAGTTCACTGCCACAGCAGGTAATGTCTGTGAAAAGAGGGCAGCAGCTGCCCTGGGGAAGCTGAAGGGGGAATGCTCCGTTTTTGGGAGAGCAGCGAGGTGGGGTTCCCATTTTGAGTGTCCCACCTATTTCAAATGGTTTCCTCAGAGTCCCCCTGCAGATGGGCTGCGTATAGGTACGAACGGCCCACGGCTGAGAGAGACAGCGACGATACGAATCAAGTCGGTGGAGGTGTTATTACCTCACGCAGCTTATTGCCTGTGCCAAGTTTGAACAGAGACAGGTGTTATTACTGGTGCGCGCTGTATTGCACTGACTGTGCATAAGGTGCTCTGAACGTACCCCATGAGCGGGGCACGGTAGCGCTGGCTTCCCTGCCCTGGTCCCCGTTTTTCCTTGGAGTGACAAAGCCGAGAGGTTCCGTCTCCCCAGAGCCGCCCTGTGCCCCCCTGCCTCCCGGAAACTTTCGGGAACACAGATACAGACGCCTGAAGCACAGACACGCGCTCGCCCCTTCCCCTCAGCCGGGGCGCTCCTCAGCCCCCGCCCGGGGCCGCTCCGCGCCTCTCTGCCATCCCTCCCCGCGGCGGACCGGCACCGCGCGGCTCTGCGGTTCTGCAGCGCCCGGCCCGGCCCGGTCCCGCCCGGCCTCTCTCACCGTCCTCCAGAGCCTCTGCCGCTTGGTACTGACGGAAGTGGCGGTGACGATGAGGTGGGAGACGGACACCACCAGCCCGAAGACGATGGCCAGCAGCGTCCGGACGGGAAGCAGCGAGTAGGAGACGAAGGTTACCAGCATGAGCTGCCACATGCCCTCCTCGGGGGTGCTGGGCGGCTCCATGCCATAGGCGCCGAGAGAGAAGGGGCAGCATAGGAAGGAGAAGGTGAAGCTGAAGAGCAAGGTGAGCTTGACGATCTGCTGCAGCTGGGTGACCTGCAGGTACTTGACATTTGTGACGATGAAAAGGGAGAGGAAGATGATGCAGTGCACCGGGTGCGAACCTTTGGAGATGGTCAGGCTGGGGCCGGAGAGCAGCTCCACCAGGGCTAGGCTGGCGGTGAGCACGATGAGGACGGCCAGCGCCTTGAGGGTGGACGTCTGCTCCAGCTTCAGGTTGTAGCTCTGAAAGAGAGCCTCCAGCTCCTTGCAATCAAACTCGTCCTCGCAGGCGATGGCATCCAGCAGCAGCAAAGGAGGGGAATCCCCTAACCCGACTCCCGCTCCCGACGCCGCGGCAGCGGGCGGGGAGCAGCAGCAGTGGCAGCACTTCTTCCTCTTGGTCTTGACTTTCTGAAACGGTATTTCCTCCATGTCAGTGCCATTCATAAACCCGGGGAAGAAATGCTCCTCCAGGTGTCCCCCGCTGCGGCTTTGCTCCTTCGCTGCTCATAAAAGAGAGGGTGGCTACGCGCAGGAGCCGCGGCCACTCGCCCGCCGGCAGCCCCTGCCGCTCCGCGGGCGCGGGTCCCGGGCGCACCTGCCAGTCACCCCCTCCGCTGCCAGCCAGGAGCCGGGGGTGGCTGGGACGGCGGGAGGACAGTCTCACTCGCGTAAACGTGCCAACCTTCCTGCCTGCAGTCTCGGTTTCCCCTCCACCACCCTCCTCCTCCTCCTCCTCCTCCTCCTCCTCCTCCTCCTCCTCCTACTCCTCCTCCCCTGGTTGCTCCAGGGATGTTAATCTCCTAATGACACCAAAACACCATCCAAAGGTTTGGAATCAAACGTAGGGGCAAAGGGTGGTTGGAAGATCAGAAAAGGGGAGACGGGGATAGTCAACAGGCGGCTTTCCCTTCAGATAACGTTATTTTGGGGAGCGGGTCTACAGAGGAAAGCAAACGGGCTCCCGTGAGGTGGGCGATATTAAAAAATGAAATAGCAACTAGGGGAAAAAAAAATTAATCCGAGACAGGGGTGTGGAGGAAAAGTGCTGCAGAGGGGCAGGAAAGAAAGCAGGAGGCAGGGAATGGCAGGGCGATCCCCTTCCCAGGTCCGAGAGCATCTCACCGGAGCTGGGGATTGAGAGGCGCCTGCGCGCCGATCGCTTGGGAAGCTGGACACGTCCCCACCAGGGTTCCGAGACTCGGGAGCAGCGGGGGGACCCGCCGCCCCAACAAAGCGCCCGGCGTTCCCTCTGCCGGCCGCCCGGGGCTCGCTGGCACTCCGGATGCGTCCGGCATCGGCCGATGACTGGCAGACCCATGCTGCCCACCTGCCCTGGCAGCTATTCATGTATATATATATATATATATATATATATATATATATGTATATATATATATATATATATATGTATATATATATATATATGCATAGGAACATATATATAGAGATACACACACACACACACATATATGTATGTGTGTGGGGGTGTGTGTGTATAAAAATATACAAAATCTACCTATAAAGACATAGAAGTACATGTAAATATAAATACATTTTAAATATGTAAATATACAACTATATATGTGTGTATTTATATAGATTAATCCTGCTTCCTTTCAGAAATAAAGTCGTATCTGACTGAATAAATATTCTGATGTTACTTGTTTTTGCCTAGCTCTGAAACAGTGGGAGAAAGTATAGTGAATGAGAAAATTTTCAAGAAAACACACTCCTGTGAGTGCTTCTGCCTGCCTGTTAGTACAAATTGGTGGCTGTGGAGGATTACTCTTATGACAGGAGTTGAATATCACCCCACTCAAAATTGTATTTCGTGCCTCATCAAGAACTTGGATGTGTTTTAGAAAAAAAAGCCTCTAGTTCTGCCTATAATGCTTCTATCAGATACTATTGCCAAGTTGCCACAAAAGAATATGCTGCAATATGCTTTTTTGTAATCATTACATCTAATTTTGGGATTATATGACTGATTTCAAACTCACCAAAGATTGGGGAAAGGACACCAGTGTTTCTTTTTGGTTTGGGTCAAGGATTTATAAGATTCAAGTCTAGGAAAATGTCAAAATAAAAGACTAAGGTTATGAACACTTGGCTTTTCAAAGGCAGGGAGGGATTCTTTCCAGAATCAAAGCAAAATCCTACTATCATGCATAGGTTGAAGAACTAATTACTGATTTTTGCATCAATGATGTCAGATTCTGGTCCCAGATTTGGGCTGAAGAGTGTTAAGATCAACAATAGGCAGAGATTCTTCAAGATTTGTTATGGCTGTGAATTATGTTGGCACTTCACTTCCAGCTAGTAAAGTAGCATTAAAAAATTTTCAGGTACATAATCTAAGGCAACATATTTTTTATATTAATATTTTAATATTTGATATTAGTCCATGCCCTACCGACTCAGTATATGGTCATTCTTTTGAATCTGGACAGACCTCATCAGGAAAAAAGAATTAATCAACATTGCTGGAGTTTGTGTATTACAGATTCAAAATATTCCACAGTTGAGACAATGACTGTTACTTACTCTGTGTTCATGGGAAGCAACTCATGGTGGTTTCCTAGACAGTGACTTAGACCCTCAAACACTGCAGAACTGTAAATGCAGCTGATATTTAGACTTCTGTAACATCCTTCCAGACAAAAGTAAAGGGGTTGGATTTGCTGGCCTGAGTACTGGAAACAGGAAGAGATGTTTAGCTGAAATAACATTAAACCTGACAAACAAAAAGAGGCTTCCTTTGTTTTGCGGGATCTCTAGTGTGTTTGAAAAGCTTAATAAATAAATATCCTTATTCACTCTGGTGCATAAATTCACTTTGGTTACACATATATTAGATAAACAAACACTGTTGTGTTTTTACCTGTCCTCAGCTTTCTTCTGACCTCATATATCCTGAGGGATAAACTAATATTTCACATCTCACAAAGTATAAGAGGTGGCACTGAGTTGCCCAATCCTAGAAGCTATTTACTGAAAGAGTTGACATGCTAGCAGTTATAATTTTTCTTCTGCCTCTCAGCATGCTGCTGAGGAAATGGAAGGTGAGTAGTCCCCGACAGGGCACCCTGTGGTTTAAATTATTTTTATGCTTCTTACAGCCTCTGGTTGGGTTAGTTAGTGCATACATAAAGCAGAGAAAGATGGTACATGTGGAATATATGCATCTTCATTCTTGCTTGGTCAAGGGGAAGCAGTGAACTGTTGAAGCTTCATCTTCCTTAGACACTCTAGGAGTATGGAAATGCCATACAGTGATTAATGAAACTCTGCCATCCTTTATACACTGTTTCACATCATAGGGAAAATACTTCAGCATACTCTCCATAGTGAGGAGCCCAAATTTTAGCACCTGATGTCACAAATACAAAAAAGGAAACCTCAAAACCATTGTCTGAGACAGACATATTATTAAAGCAAATAACCAGCTATAAAACTGCTGGAATGCACTTGACACAGGACCATATTTTCTGACTTATCTGTTGTAGAGGACAGTAAATCTAAAATAATCTAAATCTTCCTGGGATTTTTGAACTATAAACAACACTTTGTGGACTGTAGTACACTTCTGGCTCATTTTTAAGAAAGATATGAGGTTGCTTTTGACAGTTATTGCCCCCAGAATTCTGGATGTTGGCCAGAACCAAGTCAGTTATTTCTTTTGTATGCTCTTGCATTTGTAATCAGAGACTACTCTGGGAATGAATTTCGTATTGATAGGAAAGAGTGATTAGAGTCCAACTTTATCGTCTTTGGAACTGCAAAACATATCTGCTTTTCATTTTTTTTCTAAGAGGCAAACTGTCTTGGTTGTTTGAGTCACTGGAAGTGAAAAACATTTTTTTATGGAGAGTCAGGCAGTATATGGATCTAGGTTACACTAAATACAAGTGTATTTTCTCACTGCCTTCTGCTGGACCATAGTCTAGAACTAAAGAGCTACTGAGAGTTTCTGTTCCCACTCAGTTCCTTCTCCACCAATCTACTTTTATTTACTTTGTGCTTGTAGATTCCCCACTCAGTAATTATTTTTTCACTGTAATCTTGTTTTACTTTACTAAACTCGGTACTTGCTTTTTGTATCCCATCTTCTATAATAGTTTCAAGTATTCACTGCCTGGTGCATTAGGTGGAGATCATCTTTAAAAGCAATACCTTTCATAAAACTGGAGCTCCCCAGATTCAGGATAATTTTAGAATTAGGCATAATGAAAGTTTTGCATGGATAGATTTTTTTTTCTTGTGTAATTTTTGTCTGAGTAAGGATTGCAGAGATTTTCATATTTTATCCATATTTAGTATTGCTCTTCTGTAACAGAATGCCATGCTCTATGATCGGAGACAGGGACAGAAATCTCTTTCTTCTCACTGTCCCTGACAGTAAGACTAAAGACTCTGCATAAAGCTATTGAGAAATTTCTGCAGACTCATTCTAGCAGGCACAGCTTGTTAATGCCACCACAGAAATCTACCTAGTGAGAGAAAAGCAATGATATGGTCAGGACAGAAAACGTCTAGCACAAAATAGTAGGAATGGCCAAGTTTAAATATAAAATTTGGACAGTGTTTTCCTTCTCTTATGGATCTCTGAAATAGATTCCAAAGTTCTAGATTTTGGGGAAAGATTTGAAAAAGTGAAAGTATGTTTTTCCAAATCATGCACAGATTTCATTTGAAATAAATCTGGGGACTCCATCACAGTCTTACTTCAAGAAATGTCTGAACAGGTCTCATAAACATTATAATGACTTTTCTTTAATATTCTTTGTGATTTTAAAGTTTGACTTATGGTACATGCATTTTGATGGAGAAGAAATGAAAGAGACATTTTGATGCACTACCACTTCCACAGTTAAACTATCTCCATGTTTGAATTCACCTAGCCAGAGCACTTCTGCTACAGAGCTGAAATAAACTTTGCCCACGTACAGTAAGTGAAAACCTCACAACATCTATAAGTTCAGTCACTAGGAGACATTGGCTCTAGCCTCAGCAGTGTTGTCCAAAATTACTTTTTGGTTTTATCTTTTTCTTTGTGCTTCTTCATACAAGAGCCAGTTTTAAGAGAACAGAAATGAGTATTTCAAGGGTAAATTTAGGCTGCAATACTAATCATCCAATGAAAAACCTGTGCCTTAGCTTCTGCTTAGGTCTAACAAAAGCAGTTTTGTTCAGTTTCCGTTGGACTGCGCAGTGCTTTTTCACTCAGATTATTTTAATTACTATTCTATCTGCATAGAAGTCTATCTAATTGTGTAATCTACTGTAGAGAAAAAAAAAAACATGAGAAAAAAATTACCTTAAGGCCTTGACCTCAAGTCACTTGTCAGACAAGACTGATGCTGAAGCAATTAAGACATTTGACAGAAAAATAATATGGCTAAAATGGCTAGTTTGCCAGCAGAGAAAGGGGATGGATTTTCTCCAGACCTCTGCTGAGCAAGGAGTACTGGCATTAAGAGCATTTTAATCCTTTACCTGTCTCTTCTATTTTAAGTCTTCCAGGAGAGCATGAGACTTCTGTGACCTACTGAACTTCTATATTAATACTCATTATTATCTTCAGTGAGCAAACAATGTGCTTTCCAGACACATAGCAGGTCAGCAAGACCCTTCCAGCTTTTGACCAGTCACTAATTTTCTCCATCAATACTGTATCAGCTCTGATTTATTTATTTATTCTTCATCTAAAATTAG